CCTTTGACAGGGAGCTCGCTCTTAACAAGGAGCTCGGACTAAGTACAGCGGTCTGGAGTTCGGGCTTGGTAGTGAGTTTGGACTTGCTTCCGATGTTCGCTTTGGGCGCTCTACTGTCCCGAGCTGCTTGCCTTTGCCATGTGTCGAGCGATCGCGAGGTCGGGCCAAATTTCCCTTCATCAAAAACCATCCGACATTACACAGACTGGATGGTTTATTACAAAATTGGAAACCATCCGACATCACACAGACCAGATAGTGTTTTATAAGAGTTGAAAACCATCCGACATCACATAGACCAAATAGTATTTTATAGAGTTGGAAACCATCCGGCATTACACAGACCAAATAGTGTTTTATAAAATTGGAAACCATCTGGCATTACACAAATTAGATGGTTTATTGCAATCTTGAATCTTCAATTGCAGTTGTAAATTTCAGTTCCTTAGGTGATAAAATAGTATTTGCACCCTCAAAATCATCTAAAGCCCAACATTCCATAAGGTAGTATATGATTCTCACAAGTGTATAAACCATCTGAGATGGAGAAGATTAGATGGTTTATTACAGAGTTGAAAACCATCCGGCATTACACAGACCGGATAGTTTTTTATAGAGTTGGATACCATCTGTCATTACACAGACCGGATTATTATTTGCAATTTTGAGACAATTTTTTTGAATGCTTTTTGAAACATAAATTATAGTTGCAAACATCTATCCCTCCGCATCATAGTTACACCATCAAAATCATTTAGAACCCACTAAACCTCTTTGTTCTATATGGTTCTTATATGTTTACAAACTTAGAAACCATCCGACACTAAATAGATCAGATAATTGTTTGCAATTTTGATACATAAATTACAGTTTTGAACATCTATCCCCCTGCAGGTAGCTACACCATCAAAACCATTTAGAACTCAATGAACCTCCTGGTTCTGTATGATTCTCATATTTATAGACTTAGAAACTCAAATTGCATCATGCATCTATTGGGCAGGTGCCATTCCACGATGTTAAAGCACACAAGCCATGTTTGTGCATGACCATAAATCTCTGCCTCTAGTGCCTCTACTGGGACTTCTTCAACATTCAAATCATCATATGATTGTCATTTATATAATTCAAGTTCTAGAGTCCTATGTACATTAACTCATTTTATGAGCTATTATATGCTGATATTTTGGTCAAAAGAAATTGTAGCTTCTTCAACATTCAAATCATCATATGGTAGACATTTATATAATTCTGGCAATCATTCATTTCCAACTTTCTATTGACTTCTAAGTCTTATTTCTTTTACTTACATTTTGCAAATACTCAACTAAATCATCATTAACTTGCATTTTGAAAGGAAGGGATTTCTTTCATTCTTTAAACAAAAGAATACACAATCAGAATTTGACCAAAGAATCACATCAATTACTTAAACAATGAAATACAAGTACAAAGAAACAACAAACAAAAAATAAAATATGTAAAATCTCCCCAAGCCAGTTAAAAAGAGTTTGAGAAACAAGAAACAAGAAAAAAAAAATAAAGGGAGTGGGACCCCAAATCAAGGTTAGAAGAAGAAACCTCTTCCTAGTAACTCTAAAGTTTGCGAGAAGAAAAACAATAAAATAGTAATTTCAAACTCAAACTTGGAGAATGGGACCCCAAATTACTCGAACTCGAACTTGAACAAAGAATGGGGTCACAAATCGCTTGAACTCGAACTTTGATGAGGAATGGGACCCCAAATCACTTGAACTCAAACTAGGAGGGATATTGCTTTGAAGATGGAGTCTTCCTAGCCAGCCGCAGTTTGAATCGATCGAGTTGATGCTTCCCAGCCAAATGGAATCGATGCTTCCCAATCTAAAGTCGTTTGAATGGATGAAGTCGATGCTTCCAGCCAGCCGCAGTTTGAAAGGACAGAGTCGAATTTGAACTTGAAGATGCTTCCAGCCAGCCATAATTTGAATGGATGGAATCGAACGAACGAAACATGAATATTCTTTGGATTTGGTGGATTGTTTTTAACAAAAGGGTAATTTTGTCCTAAACTTCATGTTTCCTCCCGCTCACTCAATTTGCTATTATTTTTAAAACATAACTAAAATTGTCAATTGACCAAAAACTTCCCTTGGCGCATTTATGGCAATGCCACAATTAACATGTTTTTTCACAAGTTATTGTTTGGTTTAAGTACACCCTATTTTTCATAAACTGGTCCAAAGGGCCATTACCCAGTGTCGTCTCTTGCTATCAAAGGGCCTTGGGTGGGGTGGACCGGATACAAACCTAATCTTTCAGTATTTAGTAGAGTGGCTGTGGTGTTTGATAAAACTGAAGTCTGATATCTGAAAAGTAGAATCTCTTTTTATAGATTTGATAGCTAAAAACAGCAAACTCTGCTTTTCTGCTTTTTAGAGCATGGATAATATTTAAAAAAAGGGGGCATTTCAGTCATTTGAAACATATATGGACCACTTATTACCAAATCAGAACTCTGATCACTTTCAGTGGTTAAACATAAGTTAGACCCAACCCCTGAAAAAAAAATAAGTTTTTAAGATATTAAACCCTATTTCAGAGTTATCGAATGCCACCTTAAACTTCTGTTCTCACTTTGTAAGACAAAATCCTAAGAGGATGGCTGCTGCTTTCTTTTAACTGACAACAAGCTATTTCTATTAGAACAGATACGGAGAAAAGAAAAGCCACCATTTATGGAGGAATATGGTCCATCATCGGATGAATAACACCTCCAAATGGCAACCATTTTACAATAGATTGTATCCTCAACTTTCCGAGTCCATCATTGGATGTTGCAATGTTGAAGAAAGCTATCTTCTTCTTTCAATGCATCTGCTTTCGAGTGATTCCAGACTTCCAGTTGGGGCCATTGAACTGTTAAGTTTCTCTTGAAGATGAAGATCAATTGAAAGTTGTGACCTCATTCCTTATGACACATCATTGGGAACAAAACAATTGGAAAGTAGAACTGGGAAGGTAGCACAATAGCCAGACTGGATCAATACCACTGGTCAGCCCTCTTTTATTTCATTATGGTGGGCTGCTGCACATCAAGATCTTGAATATGAAAGACAGATTCTCATCAGCTAGTAGTAGACTAGTAGACCTATTCACAGGCTGGCATTCGGGGTCGGCCCATGAAGATTTTATACTGTTTCGGGCTTGGGCTTTGTGTCAGGCCCATTCAAAATTTGGCTAAAACTCAACCCAAACCTGGCCCATGAACAGGTTTAGCTAATAGGTATTGGAATCAAAAGGGATCCTACATTCCTTCCTTCTGTCGTATGAGATAACTTAAGCAAGTCAACGCTTTGGCAGGGACATGCATAGGATGTAGATATTTCAACAGCTTTATGTATACATCTTGAATTTGGTGTGTATTTACACAAGACTTACATGTCTACCTGATTGCGCCACCAGCCTATATGAAAATACAATAACCTTTACAAGACAAGATAACCTGTGTATATATTTTGAAATAGTTCCATATTTACAGTAAGCACCTACTCATCTTTCTTTTTGACTTCCAGCGAGATCTCATTACGACGATTGAATGGTAATGTAAATGGTGGATTGTACTGCAATTACATCCATGAGAAGTTAGTACAACATTATAATGATAATCTTTCTTGCAGACTGCAAATATTGCCTGAAAATCAAATTGCTATGGACCTAACCTGTGCAACCTCCACTAATGCATCTTCTTTTACTTGAAACTGCCCATCATTCCGTAGAGCATCACGTAACTTTGATTCCCTCTGTTTAACCTCATCATCTGTTACAAAACCTGATTCAAGATGGAAAAAGTTAGAATCTTTAAATGTTAATGTCAATTCTAAGTCACTATTGATTAAAGCACCTATATGGGTTGTTTGTATCATTTTCTTTCCCCTAAACTTGCAACTACCATAGATTTGCAACATTCCATTCTGTTCAATGGATTTTTTTTTTAAGTAAAAAACATATGTCCTAAGGTAGTTCCCTAGGTTCCATAACCATAATTTCCTTAATAATTATCCATAATTTTCATAAGAAAAAAATATAAACTTCATGTTAAAGTATAGAAAATCAACATCTTCATGAGAAGAAAAACATACTTTGGCACGTATATGAAGATGGTATTCCATATGTATTCTTTAAATACGTGCCAAAGTATGTTTTGCACCAGTTCTATCTGTGTTTTCTTCTTCCACACCTTTTTATGTGTGGATGTTCAGTTGTGCATCTATGTATGTAGAATGAAATATGTATGCATGATACAAGAATTATCCATGTGGCATCTTTGTTTGATGTCCAAAATGACTTCCTCTTCTCCTCCCCACCATATCTATATTCACAGAATAGGTTCCAGGTTTAAAGGATCTTTCCATGTTTTCAAGATTATTGTTTTCATGGGCATTCTTTTAATTAAAAAAAATGAAGGTCTGGAGGACTTTTTTTATATGCAAGGTCTGGAGGATTAGTAACAGAAATAGGTCACCTGATAAGTAACCTTTTTTCTCAACTTATATAGAAGGAGGGAGTTTTCCATTGCAGCACCAGACTTTGGCTTCCAAAACAGCCTTGTGGCTCTACCTCATTTATTCCACTTTCCATCCTTCTTTCAGGAATTACAATTTAAGCCTAAAACTTTGCCATATGTCCAAAATCAGGTACTTCTTTGTGGGTTTTTTCAATTAAGATATTAAAAACTTGAATGGCTAACATCACTATGGCAATATTTTAAGAGAGATTGGATTATGGGGAGCATGCATGGCCAATCCAGAGGATCACCAATTTGATAGATCATAGATGGTCCAACATGATTCCTCTGTATCGAAGAATTTAGTGAGATCATCTAGATGAGAAGTTTAATTGTTTACCCAACCAGGCTACCCTTTCTCCACAGAAACAGACAGAACTGGTGCAAAACATACTTTGGCACGTATTTAAAGAATACATATGGAATACCATGTAATGTAAACATGTTATTGATTTGTTATTTTAATTGTTGAAAAAACTATGTATATAAGGAATTCAAAGTTGTCAAAACAAGGTAAATTTTGTGGCATGTAGAAGTCCATTTACTACCAATGATCATTGCATCCAAATATTCTTAGATCATGAGAAATAAGCACCTGAAAAGGCAGCCACTGCAACAATTTTTCTCGGCACCTCTTTGATTCTCACAGAGGAATCTTTTGGTAATGGCAAGTTGGCACCATACTTTGAAGGCATGAGAAATGACATCTGCCACTTTCCTTGATCCTCTGACTACAGATGATGTAAGAATTAGATCATGACCTTAGAACATACACATAACAGAAATTTTGAAAAATGCAGATAATGTGGACAAAGGGCTGTGTTTTGCTCTTCCTCCTACTTGACCTATCTGTACCATGCACAGAGGACATGGTTGGGGTCTGCCACTTGATAGGTATAGAAACACAGATTTTAGCATGGGAAAGAGAATTTCACACACACACAAAAAGCATAGGGCAGAGTCGAAGAGAATAAATAAATAATTGAGAAAGCTTATAGAAATTAAATGACCCTGAAGAGAAATCAATTTTTGGATAAATAACTCTCTCATTTTAGGAAACTTGAAACACAATGCAGTAATAGCTGGTGAAAGCCACTACTTCTAATCCAAAGTATATTATGAAAGAAAATTAAAGGTGAATCTGTTAATTTAGAAACACTTCCATATTTGTATTGAGGTAGCTACCCAAACTGAAACATGAAGCTTCATGCATGCTATCTACCCAATGCAGTGTAAAGAGACACATTCCATGATGTAATCTAAACAATGCAGGAACATATCCCTCTCACCACAATCAGAATCAAAATCCATAAGAATCAGAATTGGAATGGTCTATTCCTCCCACCTGTTTGGTTCAGATGGAAATTTGAATCGGAATTGGAATCAGCTGGAAGGGAGGGGTAGGGAATGGCCATTCCCTCAAATGGGGGAATGCCATTTCACCACCACCAGGAATGGGAATGGGGTTCCAATTCTGCCCAGCCAAACAGTTGGAATTGGGATGGACCATTCTGATTCCAATTCCAGACCCCTATTCCCATGAACCAAACAGGCGCTCAGTGTTGGTGAAAGCCCTAGGAAAAAAAATGCATCGGAAACAATACCAGATACTTTGAATTTTCTAAAATATAAACACTTGTACATAAAAGTTACCAGTAAATGCTTTGTAGAAAATATTAATTAATTTACTAAGAAAAATCTCTTATTGTATGCCATTTTTTGTTAATTCAGAACATTTATTGATAAAAGAGTTATAGTAGGGCATTCTTCATCAACTAAATAATCTCATGAAGTTGAATGACTCACAAAACTAACTAATACAAAGTAATCATACCAAAACATTTATGGAGTACATTTTTTCAGCTTAAGAGATTTTCATCCATGGAAACCCAGAAAATGGGTACTGAGCCATCTTGATCCACAGCATGAGCACAACTGCATGGTACAGTTGATTCATATTTATGAAATGTTTGTACCAAGTATTTCTCCTTAGACATAAGGGATCTATTTATATTATCAGTATAAGAAATCAAAAGTATTTCTAATAAGGGATAAGTAAACCACACTTACCTGCCTTGTTATTACAGGCGTTGTCATCTCCATTTTCTCTCCACCAGATTGGGTCTTCTGAGTAAAAACAGGAGTAGTCATCTCCATTTTCTCACTCACAGTATTCTAAGAACAGTGCCAGGGCAACAATTAGCACTTGAGATGCAAATATGACAAACATTGGTCTAAACAATTCATATTACTGTTCTCAAAATGGTACTATCAATGTACCTTTCCAAAGAGGTACTCAGCCAAGATGTTGAAAGATTGCGATGAACCACTGAAATCAAATCCAGTCTTCCCAGGCATTGTTGTCTCTGCTACAAAATAAGGCTGTTCCATAATAGTAGCTTCTGTTAGAAATGAAGGATCATTGCTTCTGTTCCACAAAGATGTTGCATAATTCAAGTAGAAAGGAATTGATTTTCAAGTTTAAGAATATAACAATGTTGGAACCACAAGAATGATTCAAAACTTCATTTCTTCCAACTTCCATTCAAGTGTACTTTCATACTAACTGGTTTACTAAGATGCAGAGCTTCTTTCAAGGACATAAAAATCCACAGGCGAAGTTCATTTTATGCAGTTCTCAAGTTTGTTTCATGATCTAATTCTGTTTTCTATTAAGGCATGGAAAATGCAGGTATCGAAATACTCTGAATGAAGAGCACTGAAGGTTCTTACTGACAAAGGCAGGCTTATAAGAACTACAGCAATGGGGAATACTCATACCTCAGAAGACTTATACTAGCTAGTCTAATACATGATTCTAAAACAAAATTAACTATAACATGATATTTTGGGTAAATCACACCATTTTACACTGGCAGGGGTTACCAATGAAGAAATATTTGGTTTTTTCACCTTTATGGCCAGGTTTGTTTGCAGTGCAATTTCATTTGCGATGGTGTAAAAGTATGGGAGTGGAAATGCTTTGAGTGCAAATTCTGATTTATTTTTTATTTGTCTTTTGCCTTATTTATTTTGTTTACATTGCATATTAAGTAAAATAAAATTTGAAGCAAAGTAAAACCCAAGCAAAAGTAAACCAGAATTTGCATTCTTCTCATCTGCATTGTCATGCATTTGTACTAGTGCAAATGAAATTGCACTGCAAAGAAATGGAGGCAAAAGAACAAATTTTACACCAGCAAGGGTTACCAACTTACCAATGAAAATTTTTTGGTTCCCATCCCACATCTGGACAAATAATATCTTCAATCCTTTAAGCACTATTTCGATTCCCCATCAGCACATCCAATCTAATTCATGATTCAGTCAGTGGATACTTTTGTAGTGGGGTGCATGAGAGCCACCCCATCAGTTGCCAGATTTGTGACACATGATTCGTGTGATAAAACGGTTGCATGCACTAAGTGGGTTGTAGTTTAATACTAGAAAATGAATATGAGATGCACCTCTGATTGAAAGAGCATACAGACCCTTTATTTGATCTTATGCCAACTATACATGAAGCATTAACAAAATCTACTCAAAATGACAAGCTATAAACACAATAAAAAAGAAATGTTTATTTTCTGTTACGTATATAGTTGGCATAGAATCAAATACACCCGGTTATAATTGGAACACCACTTAAAACTTATAAGCTCCAACATTGAGTTCTTCTTGCCAGGCATGTACTTTACTTGCTTTTGACAACGCTGATCTTATTTTTATTTCTAGGAAACTATAACACACTCACATGCCCCCACCCTCAACACAGACTGAGCTTACAGATAAAGTCTGATAGAATCCTTCTGACAATTTTCAGAGAGTATAAACATAAAGCGAAAAAATTATACCTCAACCTCCCTGATTTCGTACTCATCTGTCCTTTTTAAAACGTTAAACTTCACAGTTTCAAGATCTGGAACTGCATAAAAGCCAAACTATAAAGAACTTAATAAAACAGTCACAAACCAAATCCCCAATATCATCAGATTCCAATCAAACTCAACAAAACCCAAAAGTCAATGAATCAACTGACTGCAAAACTACCTGTCATCAAAGCTTCCTCTAAATTGCGACTTTCGAATCTCTTCGGAAAAACATATTTCGCAGTTTCATCCGCCAAATCCACTAAAACTGCAAACGAAGAAAAAAAAATCAAGTTAAAAAAGCGATTCCATCTCGAAAATGAATTTTTCCTCTTTTGCTTTTGAAGAATATGTACTTCGCTGAGACAGAGAGAAGGCCTGAGTAGCTAGAGCAAGAACAAGAGAAACACGAGCATCAAAACCGGACATTGTCCTTCTTTGCCGAGAAGTGACGCTTCTATCCATCGCCACTACTGTAACCCTAGAACTTCTTCTAGGGTTCCTCGACATATGAACCCCGGCTCTGCAGAGAGGTTGACAGATGAATGAAGCGTCGCATGCAAGCATTTTTCTAGTACTTCTTTCCTTCTCTGTTAGTGTTGCAGATGAATTGCCGGATGAAGGAAAGAAGTGGAATTCGCTATTTGCATCGCCAGGAGAGAGAGAGAGAGAGAGAGAGAGAGAGAAAGGTTCTAATATTTCATGGACGGAGTCGGATACCGGCCAGGGCCCCTTCTTTCTGAGATATTCTTCTCATTGGTTTATCGCTTGGTTCTGGTTGACGAGACGCTTTCAGAGTTCCAGTCGACTCACAAGAGGCCTTCTCTTTCTCAGCTTGACAGTTATTCTTCTCGCTGTCTAATTATCTAACAGCCTAGGCTGCAAGGGCGAATCAAAACATGGCCACGTTTTGATTGGTTCAACGCAACCGGCAACCTACGCTAGGTTGAACCTACATTGCAGGACAAGTTTGTAAGGGCCCGATAACATTAAGGCACGTCAGCCCGATTTGCCAGAGAAAGAGCGGAGTTCCAAATCCAATTTCTTTGCAGAGTATTGGGTGATGAGCCTGATGACCGGTGAGAGAGAGGTTTTGGGTCTAGCTCGGGCTTACCATCAAAAATCGAAAAATCGAAAAATCGAACCGGAAATTCTGGTTAACCGAATCAGTTGGTTTAGTTTTGACTTTTGATGATTAATATAAAAAAATTAGACGGAGGCAGGAATTTTCTTTGAAAGGGCCAAATTTAAACAAAAAAAATGAGATAGAGAGTAAAAGAGGTAGGGTTTTGACAAAAATGGACTCAGAAGATTTAGTATTACAAATCTTTTAAAAAAATAAATATATATTTTTTTAATTTTGGGAGTTGGAGCTTGGAGGAGCGTTAGAGAGTATACTTGGTTCACCTCTGTATACATTATATATATATTTATAATATATAATATATCATTTATCATTTATAATATTTCTAATATTTTATTATGTATTTTAAATATTTATTTATAATATACATTAGAAATATCAAAAAACCGAAAAATATGACAAACTGAATTGATCAAAAAAGAACCAACTAACCAATTAATCGATTGGCTTCAATTCGATTTCAATTTATGATTTTCCAAAAACTAATGGTATCTGTTCAGTTAATCAAACCATGAGTATCCCTACTTTATAGGTGAGTAGGGATTTGCTACCAACAAAATGCTCCCTAACATGTTACTGCATGTAGTTGTAAAGGGAAATATTTCCAATGTCCTCTTGGTGGCAGAATCTGAACTCTTTATACATACCCTCAATTGCCTACAAACTCAGATCCAAGCTAATGCAACCTCCTTAGCCAAAGGAAATAAATAAGTGGTGAATCAAATGCAAACTCATAAAGCTCTTGGTTCATATGGCTATTCCACTTTTTCTTTCAAAAGTATCAATTAATAGTGGAGGCAAATATTTACCAAATGGTAAGTGACTCCTTTCAGTCTAAACCAATCTTTTTAAAAGTGACCCAAAGGCCAAATGGTTTTGGCCTCCGAGTCGTGAGTCACCAGTTTGATCGTCTATGTCGAATGGATCAAACGTGTCACACCAGTATATGTATATATGTATGTGTGTGTATAGATAGTAATGTATAAGCATGTATTTTATCAACCAAAAATGCTAAAATAGTGATTTGAGGTCAAAAAGGGTTTTCTAGCAAAGATAATGATTCAAACGGTTGAACCGGTCGAATCAACAACAAGTCTTAAAATAGTGCTCTAAACACTTGTCAAAAAAACTAATAATGCAAACCTAGTCTTCATACCTAAGAGACTTGCTCCTAAAAGTCCAACCCATTATAGGCCCATAAATCTATGTAGTGTAACATTTAAGATCATTTCGAGATGGGTGGCCGATAGAGCAAAGCCAATTCTTAAAGAGATCACCTCTCATGGTCCATCTGGATTCCTCTGAAATAGGCAAGGAGCATATCATATTGTTCTAGCAAGAGTAATCATTGACCATAATGGAAAAGAATGACATGCGATTAAATTTGATATGGTTAGTACTTTTAATTGAGTGGGATGGAGTTTCTAACTGACTGTTTACAAGAAATGAATTTTCTAGAAAAATGGGTTCACTTTAGCTCATACATCACCGCACCCACCTTTTCCATTAAATTGAATGGTGAAGCTCATTAGACACTTCAAACTTCACAATGGCTTGAGGCAAGGAGACTGTATCTCCCCATACTTGTTTATCATTGGAATGGAAACTTTATCACAAATGCTAAATACAAAAATTGGAATGGAAATTTTGCAGATGATTGTCTTATATTCTGAAAGCTAAGATCCAACAAACCTAAGCTCTAAAACAGTTCCTCTCTAAGTTTGAAGCAGCTTCAATTCAGAATAAATTTCACCTAATCCAACATCATCTTTAGTAAGAACATCTATAGGCACCATAAGACTTCTTATGTAAAATCTTAAGCATAATTTATAAAAAAAAAAAAAAAAAATCTAGGCATATCCACCTTGAGCGGCCAAGAAATATATGTTGGTGCCAAACTTTTGATAAATAGGTTTCCTTCATCAAGTTATAAAGATCTTTTAGAGAAATTAAAAACCAAAACACTATCATGGAGGTCAAAGCTCTTATCAAAGCTGGGAAGAACACTACTTGAAGCCCTCCCAATCTATTTTATGCCTACATCAATGCTCCTACAAAAAGTTACCAATGACTCCAACAAGGTCGAAAGAGAGTTTTGGTGGAATGACAAAGAACAAAGAGCTTCACATCACACCATCCCATGGTATGTTTATTAAAGAGTAAAGGAGGACTGGGGTCTGGAATTTTGCACTCATGAACAAAACCCTCTTTGGCAAACAACTACAATTTTTGTGCTCAGCGTTTTAAAGCAAAGTACTTCCCTCACTCAAGTTTGTTCAATGGAAAATTGAAGTCAAACTCATCTTCATGGTAGAGAATAGCATTATAATTACTTGAAAAGACAAAAGCATATATTTTATGGATAATAAAAGATGGCTCTCTTAAAGTTATCACACTGCTCTTTCTCACGTGATGGGATTTCCTACAAGCAAAAGCTCTACACACACTCTAAAAGCATAGAATCCAGCGGTACATTGGAAACATACATGTAGGGGGGATATTCCCAAAGTGTAACTGGATTCTATGTGAGCGGAGGTTTTGCTTGGTTTCAAGTATGGAAAACAATGATTCTTTTTGTGCTCAGTTTGAAAGGAGTATAAACTTAATTTGGAAAGAGTGCAAATACAAATAGGTACAGTGCAAATACATACAAAATAATACAAAATATGAGGTTTTGCACTCTACATATTTGCATTTGTACTCCTTCTAAACTGAGCCTAAGCTTCAAAGGAAAAACATGGCAGAACTGTCTGGCTCATGGGCTGGCTTCTTTTGCTTGTAAATATGACCAGCCCCAAAATAGACATTTCGAATAAGTTCCTATCACATATGAATATTTAACTGTTAAAAAAAAAAGAAAAAGAAAACAGCTCTTCAACCAACTAAAGTTTTTCCCAAATTTAATATTTCCTATTTTTTTTTTGTCACAACTCACAAGTTTGCCACTGTAAATTTTCATGGATTTTTTAGTGATGATGATAGACATAGCACTAACAGGGGAGTCAATGGATTCATGGATTGGACCCATCCAAATCAAAATCAATTTGAACAAGCTAAATGAATCAATAATACATATTAAATTGGACCAGTCCAGACTTCATGATCTGTATTCATCGGATTGGATTGGACCTCATCCATCTGTAAATGGATTCATATTGGACAGGGTCAAGTTGGACGAATATCTCTCCCATTGACAGCCCTATATATATATATATATATATATAACTATGAAATCAATGGGATTAAATTCGACTTTGGACAATCTTTGCGGCCCATAGCCTACGTATTTTGACTGGTGTCTCATAACCTACGTATTCTGATATTCTCAATGTATATTTAGACATGTGTAAGACTGAGTTCCAACCGAGTGGAAATGCAAGAGGAAGTTATGGAGGAAATTTGGAATCGAGGGTTCATTTGGTTCGCGATTAGAATCAGAATCGATACCCCAAGACTTGAAATCAGAATCACTTACTCCCCCTACTTGTTTGATTCAAATGGAAATCTAGAATAGGATTCCAATTGATATTGCTCAGTTCATTTGGAATGATATTCTCATTTCGGGGGAGGCTAAAATGCCCTTTCTTTCAAATAGGGGAATGTCATTTAGCCAAGAATAAAAATCAGAATCCTATTTCTGACCAATCAAATAGTTGAAATTGAAAATGGACAATTCTGATTCCAAACCCTTTCCTGCAGACCAAACTAACTTTCAGTGTTTTTAACCTGCGGTTAAACCGCTAATTGGACCACTTGATTCATCACCCAACCATATTCTTTAGTCCATTGGCTTAAGTAATCAACCACACGGTGATACTGCCAATTAAACTATTTAACCATTTCACTTGGTCAGCAGGACTTGGATTAGACTTTTTTTTTTTTGTATTGTTAGTTAATTTTCATCATTAAGAACAATAATTTTTATTTACCACACATTTTTCTTTAATATAACGAATATATGGTATTAGGATTGACTGATTCCATATTAATTGCACTTATGGCTCTACCAGAAGTTATTTAACCAATAATAACGCCCCACATCAGCCATCAAACTTATATGTCTTACTTTGAATCTCTCACTTCACATATATACATAGTTGATTTGGGCTTTTTATTGGTTATACAGTTCCTAAGACAGCCATCAAAATCAGCCCACCAGGATTTGCTTCCACTATGATACATGAAATATTATACAAAAATACTTGGGGGGTGTATTTTGAGATTTTGATTCTCATTTATCAAGAAACACATTCTTTTTTCAGATTTATGTGGGGATTAGCGAAAGTTTATTTTCTTGGTTCATTTTTTAGGTGGATAAATAAATTTCCCACCTGTGGGGAAGTTACTAATACCTGAATGGGACAAAAATGTCCTTTTAATAATGATTTTTTATGGATAAAATGGTCATTATCTTATTTATCTAGGAAATAAAAGAACATGGATAAATACACTAACCAAATAAGTCTTTCCTAAGAAACACTTACCTGAGCAGTAATTTTCCAAAAAACGAATAAGGCCTTATAACTAATCAACTAGTATCATAAAAACTATTGTATTTATCAAAATTCATTAGAAATTTTAATGTCAAAGCCCTTAAAGGTATCATGTCTTCGGACAGTATAGTTTGGCTTGGATGTACTACCCATAACNGGTGATTGGTCAATGCTTTTTCATTGAGCCATTTAGTATTTAGGTTTATATTGCATTGGGCTGGTCCATTCAAACTTTGGCAATAGCTAAGCCAAATCTGACCCATTAACAGTTCTAATTATATTCAACAAACTATCAATATTGTAACTTTGTAAAACTCACCCTGGACCGGACGATTGAACCATAAAAGCCAGGGAAACGGTATTCATGGGTTTTTATAGGATGAATGATTTACTGCCAGATTGACCGGTAAAACTGGGACCCGTGGAGCATTCTGGCATTTAGTAGCCCATGCTCTGTATGACACGTAAGACTAGTCATGCTGGCTGTTGAACATGAAGGGCTTATCTTTCCTCTAAATTCCTGTAATTTTATGATTGAACTGGTAGCATGAGAATGACTTCTTTGATTAGAATTTAGTAAAGTACCCAAGACCAAGAGAGTTGAAACCAAAGTTGTTTAAGCATCAAGGTTTATTTCTTTTGAGTTTTGAGTGAGGAATGCTGATTCGTCAGTAATGTGCACAGCAGTCGGTCTGTCAGAACGCGGAAAGCCAAAGTTTTCTCTTGACCGATGTGATTAGTATGAGAATGTTTTGATTTTTTTTTTTTTTAAATTTAGAAAAGGAACCCATGAGAGTTGAAATGAAAGTGAAAGTTTGTTCAATCGCTAAAAGGTTAATTTCTTTTGGAGTGAGAAGTGTTGATCAGTCGGTTGCAATTTGCCACCACCGACTGAGTTTCTATTCCCCTCAGGTTGGAGGTTAAATGATTCTTGACCTAGTATTAAAGGGTATAAACTTTTAGGTTTGAGTGGTTCTTTTGAGATGATATCAAAGCTTATTTGAATTTTGATCAAGTGGTTCATTGTTTGATTTTCATTTGATGAATGATTTCTTGACAAATAGAACTAATTCAATTTTTCGGTCTATTCTGGTCTTGGTTAGAAGTAATTAGACCATTGTGTATCCACCACCATATTTCAGGCTCGCTCTATTTAACATTAGAAAACTGCACCATTGAACATTTCCTCAAAAAAAAAAACGTTCATGTTGGTATCATAGTTTTTTTTTTTTTTACTGTAGACAAGTTTAAGAGAAGCTTTAAAGACTCAGTTTTTCTTTCTTTTCAAATTCCTTTTTTTTTTCTTCCTCGGGTATCGTCCTTGTCATTTAGAGGGAGAGCTTTTTGTCTCTTCATTCCGAGAATTTGGTTCGAAGGATCATACTAGGGATGTTGTGATCGTCTCGGATTCACCCACATCATCCAATTATCGAAACTTGACTAATCAGATTCGATTCGTTTTTACCGAATTTGCTTTGTTGTTTAAAACAAAAAGATTTTAAAAAATTCTGATAAAAAAATTAACAGAAAAGTACGGACAGGTCGAATATAGATTTCTATATTCCACTACAGACCTAAAATTAATTGCTTTTTGACATTTTCCCTAAAATTAATCACTTTTGACATTCATCTATTATAAATTTACATGAATACAAAATATTAAATTTTTAATTATAAATTTTATATAATTATATATAGTATATAACTGCTGTTGGTTCAGACGGTTGGACCGTTTGGCCTGAGAACTGTTCAGACAACTGGTTCCAATTTACCCCAAACCCGGTCTTTGGCCAAAAACCATTGAGATGGTCAACAATCCATTGACTCAAAAAATTGAACCATCAACCAGTTTGACCCATTCAACGGTTTTTGGCCATTTTTATTTTTATTTTTTTTATTTATTAAAATGGACTATCCATTCGAACCAGACAATCAAAATATCAACCCAGTGGCCAAAACGATTCCAATTTCAAATCGGTTTTAAAAACATTGATAAATACATATGTAGGGATTAAGGGAAAAACCTTATAACCAATCAACTGGGTATCATAAAAGGGGTAACGAAATGTGTGTGTATGCACGATAAATTTAAATCAAATCAGAGGAGATCAAATCTGCGTTCAATCCAATTATTAAGCAGAATCTATCCATACAGATTTTAAAATCCAAATGGAATTTCAAAATTTCAGATACCATTGACAACCCAAAAGCTTATCCAGCTGTTTTCTGGCATTGAAGTTACATATACCGGAAATAAAAAGATCACTTCAGACCCATCAGCCCAAAACTAGACACTTATTCACTCTCATTTTGCCACCAATAAATAAAAGACAAAATTATTATACACATAAAACTGTCCGTGCTCATATATCCTGATCAGTACATTACAAAGAGAAACCATCTTTATGTTCTTAAAGTTGTCATGGATTAGACCAACTTTTCCCATTTATTAGACGCGCATTAATAAAATGAATTAATCCTACCCTTATTATGCCTGTAGATGGTTTCATTATTTTACAGATTGAAGTGTTGGTACCTCGCTTCTCAATTTCAGGATGGCGGATGTACAAGATGGACTCTCCTCTTAAGTTACTAGAAAGGTTCTTGAATATAACGGCACCGGAACGAAATTGGCTTCAATTGGTGCTTGGCATGAAATAAATTCCTGGTATTGTGGTTACCCTGCATCAAGTAGAAACAGCCATAAATTAGCCATGTGGAAGGTAAAATCATCACCACCATTCAAGCCTTATCCCAACTATATGAGGTCAGTTGTCATTCATTCTGTTTATTGTCATGTCCTTTGTTAAATTATGGACGCTAAAATCATTTCTTACTATTTCGACATTTGACATTGAAGGTAGAACTGTGCAAGAAATCAGGTTAAAGTTTTTACAGATTTATTATTAGGAGTACAGCTTGTGGATTATTTGGTTCACATAGTTCTACCAGTTGGAATATAGATGTGGTAGCTTAGAAGTCACCACATGGACTAAACATCCATCACTATCAGTATCGCAATCATCCTTGCTGGAATACTTGAGTCCATCTTGGATTGCGGGTCCCATGGGTTTGGAACGTGTGATACCACTCAGAGTTCTAGCTTACGATTCATTTGTTGTTTTCCCAAGGTTGGACCCAGCAGTAGTTGCATTCCACTCCACTCCACTACTTAGCTTGTCCAATGGATTTGAAGATCCAGCAGTGTAATCTTATATGGACCATAAGTGATGTAACGCGCTAATCACTTTACAGGTCTCATGCTGTAGGAAGCCCCAAGAACGCACATTGTCGTTCAAGAATTTCTTCTGGTTAAAATTCATTAGCCCATAACAAAGAAGTAATCCTATACGGTATCACTGCAGTATATAAAATCTGTTCAGAGGCAGGGATAAAAGGAGAAAGAGAAAGAATGAGAGAAAGGAAGAATTAAAGAAATAGGAAAGAAAAGAACTAAGACCATCATCTGGAGGTCAGCTATATATATGTCTAAGATGGTGTGGACCCATCATGTTGAGATGCCTCGTATTGCAATTTTGAATTGGACCAAGGACAACACTAGAACATATTCAGGCCACCGAAGACTGACGCTATTGATTCTCTTTTAGGAAGAAAGAGAAAGGCAAACACCACAAGTTTATGTTAAGAAATAGTGATTGATGCTGCCAATAAAACTAAAGAAGTCTACGAGATTTGAGCATGGGCACTTTAGACAACCGAAGGTAATAAGAAGCCGGAAGAGGAGCTCTCGATGCCTTCTTTTCTGGGTAGGAGCCAAATTAAATTTGTCTATTGCAGACAAGAAGAATTTTTGTACAAGAAGATTCATTTGCATGATTGCATGTAAGATAAGAACAATATAACAAACACTACAAGCAACAGAAATCATGTCCATACATGTTGTCACATAGGAGATGAGCCACCGCTAGTCAGCTCCCACCTAGAAGATCTCGTTAGCTGAAAATTAACCCACCCAATATCTGATTCTAATCAAATGATCTAGAGATTTGTCTGGAATTCTTCCTAGTGTTCTATAATACTTTATACTATCAGAAAGAAGTGAAACTGAGCAGTAGACCATCTAATCAGGTGGATTTAGGTAGAGCACAATCATCCTATACATATATACATACATACTATAGGCCATGGCTTCCAAAATGATATAGAAAAGAAAATGAACTGTATCACTCACCTCACAGATGTCCTATCATAATCACAGGTTGGAAAATTTCAGTGCTTTCTGATTCAGCTCCTCCTTTTTCTCAACCTCTCCCTCTTTTGTCGAGTACTGCATAATTTGCAGGCCTTCCTCAACCACAGATTAAAAATGCTGTGATGAAGATGATAAATCCCAAAAAGGACATGTTCTGCATAAAACAAGAGAATATAGGAGGTATAACATTAGATTTATTGTTCTATTTTTTAGTTGCCTTGCTCATTAATTGAATGTGAATATTAACGGAAAAACTAAATGACCCTTAAGATGTCCGGGCCACCGGTCATGGGACCAATTCCATAGTTTCTGGATTCGGTTATTTGGGATCAATTTCGATCCGGAGCAGAACTTAGAAACTTGTAGAATTTAAGGCCCCAATTCTTTTAGTTGGAGCCATTGTTGGTGAGAGAAAATGAGGTGGGGAGCTAGTTATTTGAATTTCAGAGAAATTGATCAGGAGTGCAATTCATTCAGTGACTAACCAGTAACCACAGCTTTTGGAAGTAAAGTTCAATGAAGTACCTTAGTCTTAGAAGCAGAAACCATCTCTGCGAGATAACCACGTAATCCAATGTCATAAACTGGAGTTCCATCTGGATAGTACAACCCATAGTTCCTCTCAGAAGCCGGACCCGGCTTCAGATCCTCATTGAAGAGTGCAAAGACATAAATATCGATCGGAATAGATGGTTTCAATGGAGTACCCTGCCCCTCCTCTATTCTGCGCAGCAAATTCCCATTATAAATCCTGGCGTTCTCTGGTGAGGCCCCTACCTCGTCAGGGTCCCCTTTAGAAGGCCAACCTGTCTCAGAAATCCTCACTTCTATATCAGTATGCCCCATTCTCTTGATCGCCGAATAAACAGCATCTATTTGAGCATACAACATGTTATCGTATTTTAGATTTGTATTTGGATCTGTCATCCCTTGGTTCGACTGGAACAGAACGTAGTCCAATGAGACTTCATTGGGGTTATCTTTATAGGCAAAGTAAGGATACGCGTTGATGAGGAAAGGAGACTTGATCTGGGAATGAAAATTGAGAAGGGGTTGGATGTATTCACCGAGATCTTGCCGGAAAGCACCAGAGGAAGGCGGGAAGGAGTTGGCTAATATGGAGAGAGAATGAGCGGTGGTTACGTTCACTCGATCATTCATTCCAAGGGAAACAAGAGCATTGTAGATGGAATGGATTGCCGGGAGGAGATAGGACATCAATTGGGTGTCATTACCAGATAAAACTTCGTTCCCGACGGTGATGCAGGTTATTCTGGTCCAGGGAAGGTGGCGCAGGACATGTTGCTTCACCCAGGCCAGGGCTTTGTTGGAGTCCGTCATGTTCAGAAGATACTCATTTCCAACACCAACTACAAACTCGACGTTCGAATTTGAGAATGCCTGGAGGACATTTGGATCAGCATCATAGAGTTTGACTCTGTTGATGTTGAGGGACTCGAGGAGGAAGGCGACTCGGGAAGGAGAAGGGAGGTTGTTCGCGATCTGGCCGTAGTTGATTCCGAGCCCAAGGCCAAGGATCTGGACAATTGAATCTGTTTCATCAAAAAGAGAATGAGCTGATGAAATCACCAAACCAGGGTTTTTTTTTCTATTGTTTGAGAGCAGAGAATTAAGATTCCTGGTTCAAATTACATATCTTGCAATGAAAACACTAGGAATTTGATGAGGAGGAATGTAGTAGAATTATACTATAAAGAAATGTAGAAACATCGAGACATATAGAAGTCTGAAAAACTATCAAGAAATGCAGAAACATGTAACAGAAAACCGGTTATATTTTCAAATTATCAGCCCTAAAACGAAACGATAAATTAATAGAAGAGCAAGATTTCCAAAGTTCTAAGCTGGAAATCAGAACCACTCTACTGCAGTTCCCGAAAACCAACCAATGAAACCTTAGCAGATTAAAAACAATTAAAATAAGAACATCACTGCTCAGAATCAGAGAAAGAAATCCTATTGAGACGTGAAATCTTTAATTTCCTTAAAGAAATTACAGATTTTAAGGAAAGGAACTCAGCAGAGCAGAGCAAAGCCAACAACTATCTTCGGATTCTCAAATTTAAACTGCTTTCTATCTCAAAGTGTAAATTGCTCTACTCTGCAATTAACTGAGGCTCATTCCTCCAAACTTTCCTTCTTTTCTAACACACACTGAGAAAAGAGCAATGGACGCCATGAAGGAGCTTGAAAGACGGCTAGAAACAGAATTGACTGAAACACAGAGAGCTGAATCGAATTCCTACATTTTAATATACAAAAACCATGCGATCTCAATGAAACCAAATGTTACACGATACCATAAATAGAGTACAGAATAAAAAGGTTCGTTGCTCATTCACAATGAAGAGTACTGCCACGAAAGTAGCTTGAAGAATGAATTGAAGAAGAAGACGAAGACAGACCAAAAAGGAAGAGAAGTGTTAGCAAAAACGCGCAATCTCGCATCGCTTCAGCTCTCATTTCCCTCCGGTGGGCACCTTCTCCGTCTCCGTCTCCGACTCCCCAAATTTCAGCTCTCAATTCTCAGCGCCTGCTTAATATAGTAGTAACAAATAGACCTGCTCATGGGCCGGGTGGCCCGACGGGCCGGCCCGCCCCGGCCCGGACGGGCTTGAACATGGTTATAGGCCCGCGGGCTTAAACTCGGGCCAAAAAGCCCGGCCCGCAATAAATTCGAGTCGGGATCGGATTTTGTCAAAATAGCCCGGCCCGACCAAAACCTAGACCTAAAAAACCCTAATCGAATAGCCCCATCTTTTTATTATCTCTTTGCCTCTTTCCCTCTTCTTTTTCCAGCCAAACCCTTCTTCTCCAACCTCCACATCCTCCACACTCCACAGTGAGGTGGTGAACGTTCACCGGCGCAATCTCTCTCTCTCTCTCATGCGAAGTTGCGAACTAATGAGGAATCTCTGTCAAAGTGCGACGGTGAATTTTCTCTCTCTCTCTGCAAAATTTATTAGTTCGGGCTTTGGGCTTCGGGCTCGGCCTCGGGCCCAAGTTATAGGCCCGTAGGTCGGGCCGGGCTCGAGGTCGGGCCTAGCATATTTTCATTAATGGGGACTAAAAGTCCGGCCCGGCCCGATGGGCTGTGTTTGGGACTGCGATCTCAATTAATCCAGATATGGTGTGACACAAATGTGCGAAATTGACTGAGTGACCCATCACAAAATAACACGCTAGTGTTCCGTATACATGGGCCCGTCCAATGTCATCCCATGTGTACAGAACAATGACGTGTTAAATCGTAATTGGTCATCCAGCCAAATTCTCAGTATTAGCACTTAGCAGTAGATCCCGTGCCGTTTTCAACGGGGACAGAGCAATCATTCCGACTTGTGAACTTAAAGGCCCGCTTGCCTTTTTAATTTTTCGATAAATAAAGGGGAAAGTGTCTCTCATTTACTAACAATCCTATGTTTGTTGGGTTATTCCATAAACGCCTAAACGGTGGGTTTGCGGTAAATTGATTTTTTTCCTATGCATATCTACCACCCAGTTTTGGATATTAGCTTTATTCATTTTTGGAAAAGTTTATTTAATTGAGTAACTTCATTCACTCGGATAAGTGTTACGTAGAAAGCACTTACACTTACCGATGGGTGTAATATACTTGGATAGGTTCACTTATATTTACCCGGCTTACCTATCTTCATTTGATTCTCAAGTAAATTATACAATCACTATTTTATCTATAAAAATTTCATTATTTTTTTTGTAAGTTATTGTTAAAATGAGCAAAATTGTTGTAATACGTCTTGTCGGCATTTCTAACCTTTTGTGAGTTTTATATGAATATAAAAAAATGAATACTGGAAAAGTGGTCAATGGGAACCACAGTCCCATTGATGAATTCCCAGAAAAATTGCCAAAATGTTATGAGACAAATTCACCCCTTCTAATAATTAAGAATGGCAACATGGTGAGGTGAGACTGAGTTTTTCATGCCCCATTCCTAACCTTAAATTCAAATACCTTGCATTGTCCTCGCCCATATCTCAATGGGACTAGAAATCTCATCCCCATCCTCGTTAAGCTGGGATCTGCTCCTCACAAATGGGTGCTTCACAAGTACATCCACCGTGCATTGAGAACATCTCCGATGAATAATAACTAATAAATACGGGAGATGTTCCCAATGCATTATAGAATGTGCATGTGAGGTGCCAGGTGTGAAGAGTAGATCTGGTCTCATCCTCATCCCCACAAAGAATGGAGATCCCTGAATTCTTACTTACAAATCTTTTTTTTTTTTTTTTAAACCTAGTCAGAACTATATTATATTATGTAATATAATACAACATATATATATATATATTAAAAGTTATGTTATATATAGAACACACACACTTATAGTTCTAGTTAGGGCAGGTTCTGGGGCAGTGTTGGGGTGGAGCGGACAAATACCATCATCCCCCACCTCGTCCCCGGTCACCATAGTTTCGGGTTCCTTAAATCCGATCAATGATCAAAAAAATATAGTTTGCCATAGATGGGGTAAGACAGGTCAAATTGCAATGTTTATTATTAATGACAATTTTTGGGTAAAAATAATCATTGTTTAAATTACCTAAAATAACACTTTTGATCAAAAGAACATGAACACATAAATGCCTTTCTAAAAAACAAATGAGAGTATGAGACATAAAGAAAAGCATGTTAGTGTAATTCTGTAGGGTTAACAATGCAATTCATTATTTTTTTATTATTTTTATTTTTAAAAATAAGATTGATGAGAAAATAAGCTAATTGTCTTCTCATCATATTCTTCAATTCTTCTAGTGCCCTCCCCCTTTCTCTCTCCTCCCATCTTCTCATCATACTCTCCCTCCCTCTCTCTCATTTAATTCTAAGGGGGTCCATGTAATACATCAAAGTATGGGTGTCAACGGGGAGTTAGGATCTGGTCCCAACAGAGTTCCAACACATCATTGCAGCTTTACACAGCGAATTAAAGAGTGATGCTCCCTGAGTACGGCTGCAATGGCTTGTTGGATCAGATCCTGAATCATTCAAGGGGTAGGTTTGGTTTGGGACAGAATATACTGGTCTGAAACCAATTATTAATCAGGATAAAATCATAGACGCAAAACTCTATTAATTTATATAATCGTGTCTGACTTTATTAGAGTTAGTTATACTGATATTTGTAATTATTTATATTAATAGTAATTTAAAACTCTATTTCTAATAATACAATCTTAATAAAAAAAGATAATAAAATAGTAAATTGTTTATATGTTAATAAATCAAGTGTTTTTAACTAAATCTTATATATTATCTAATAAATTTATTCTTTTAAACAAAAAATATAATAAAAGTTAAGAAAACTAAGAAACCTTTATATATTATTAACTCAATAATCTATTTAAGACTTGATTAGTTCATAACAAGCAAAAATCATAACCAATGTTATTATTAATTAGGACAAAATCACAGAACCAGAACTGATATAATCGATCCGGTTGGTTCAATTTGATCACATAGAACCTGACTCATTAATGGCTTTGATTTTGTGGATTTAGCCCTTCACTAAAACTAAGAGGTGGACCAATTGGTAGATGGTGAAAAGTTTTCCCGTAGCCACTGTCGTTGATAGATGGGGAAAGTTAATATAGACGAAGGTTTTTAAAACCGATTCAGACAATGAACCGATAGGGGTCTGGTTTTTAAGTCAAATGGTCTGATCGTAACCAAACAAACAATTTGTTCTGATAAAAAATAAAACCGATCAAATCAGTGAACAGTTTGAATAGGTCAAACGGTTCGACCACCCATGTCAGTGGTTTGTTGACCAAATCAACAGTTTTAGGAGAAATAATGATTCTGGGGTAAAACGAAATCGATCACCAGACCGGTCTCTGATTTTTCCGGTTTGACTGTCCAATCCGGTTTGGTTTTGAAAGCCATGATATAAACCAATTGGTCAACAGCTGCCTATTGCTTAAAACCAATCTCATTTGCCAAATTAAAGTGAACCCCAAAGCCCATAATGGTATTCTCTTCAAAAATTTAGACAACCATTTTATTCAATTTAATTAATTAAAGCTGATAATAATTAATTAAATTATTTAATTAATAATTAAATATTTAAATAATTTTACTAGTTATTTAATAGTTTATTATTAATAATAATTTTATTACTTTTTATCAATTAATCATTTTATAACTAATAATAATTTTAAGTAATAACTTAATCACTTTATGTTTTAAATAATTAAAATTAAAAATTTTAAATTAATTTATTGTTTAAAATGGTAAATTAGCCATTTTTTAAAACCCAATATCCAAATTCTAAAACAGGATTCTTTGTATCCAAATATCAGGAAAAATTAAAAAAAAAAAGAACAAATTACTTTTCTTCTGATATCAAATGAGCATAAGTAGAAAAGTAAAAAAGTGGTCTGATTTCCCATCTATGAAGAATTAATCTGAGTAAAAGGAACTTACTCATAACAAACGTCAAGCAACTTATGCGGTAAATTACTTTTCAACAAGTAATTTACCACAAACCTACTAACAGGACCAAACAACACCTTAGAAGATCTCGTTAAACAATCATACCAACAAGGCAACAACCAACAAGCCTATCCTCCAATGCTTTCAAACCACCGTTTACCCAGACAGTCGGATCATTTGGCCCAGGAACCATTCAGCAATCGGTTTTGTTTTATCCCAAACCCGGTCCTTGGTCAAAAACCGTTGAATTGGTCAATAACCCATTGACTCAAGCGGCCAAACCATCGACTCATTTGACCCATCCAACAGTTTTTGGCTGTTTTCTATTTTAATTCTTTTTTATTTTTTGTCAGAACAGGCCGTCCGTTCAATTCAGATAGCTGGAACCATCGATCAAGAAACCAGTGGCCAGAATGGTTCAAATTCCAGGTTCTATTTTTTTAAGCTCAATGCTTGGATAGAACTTGCCGATTTGCAGTTGATGTGAGAGAGGAACTCTGTTTATCAATACTAAATAAGTAAATAGCTTAACGCCTTAACCTGAACTGTTCAGTTCAATTTGGTGGGTTAGGATTTGATGCCTGCTTAATAGTTGGAGAAAATCTATGATACCAAAACAAGATAATACTGAAAGAGCTTTGACCAATCAAACCCCCAGCACTAGATTGGTTAATATACCGGTTAAAAGGTTACAAGTTTTTGCAATATTATGTCTTTACAGCAAGGTTTTTAAAACCTAATCGGTCAGGGGTCGATTCCTGGGTCAAATGATTTATATTAAACTAAACGGATGGCTTATTTTAACAAAAAATTAAAAAATAAAAATAAAAACCACAAAATTCGTTTAACAATTTGACTGCCCAGATCAACGATTTACTGATCAAATCAATAGTTTTTAGTGAAATAATAATTCTGAGATAAAACAGAACCGATCATCTGATCAATTCTCAATTTTTCGATCCGACCATCCGGTACATTTCGATCAAGTTTTGAAAATCATGCTTTCCGGTATCATAGTCAAACCCAAGATCACGTCTTTTCGTATTGA